GGTTTCAGCAGGCAGACACAAAAATGTCTGTGTTAATAAAAGTGAGCAGCTCAGAAGATGAAAATGCTTCTTTTGATTGACCTCTACCCACTCAAAGCATATGTGAAACTACCTTAGGGATCCTGTGCGTAGGCTGTCAGAACATAGGGCAATCAGCCACCAGTCCACTGCGGTTCTGGTCTCCGCCTTTCAGGGATATTTTCTTATATTATCCAATCATTCTTTTACACTGAAACTATTTATTAAAGTGTGCATTCACATTGTGGTCAAAGCTTATAGACAGTAAGATATGATTTACCGTAAAGCCCTGGAGGACTACATTACATACACAGTCTACTTCAAAAATTTATTCTCATAAAGAAACATGGCATTTTGTAACTTTTTAATATACAGTACTGATGCAGTAAATAACATGCACAAATAATATTCTCCTAGAAGTGTTGGTTGTCACTTCAGCAAACACTACTAATGACTGTTTTCATTTACTAATAACACAACAGTTAAAAACACAATTCAGTGACTGTTTTAGCCCCAATGATGATATCATCATTGTATGAAACAGTGCAATCTACTACTATATCATTAATACTTATTTCATCTTGCACAGGAATTATTACAGTTGATACTGAAAAACCTCTTTTTGCTCCAGCTGAAACAGCCTGTGAATAAATCATGTCACATTTAGATATGAAAAACAGGTCAACGGCTACTGAGCTGACATTTCCAAAAGCAGAACCTTCCCTACAGCATAGCATAGCTTTAGGAAAACATGCTTCATTTGACATCAGACATTCTTTTTAACAGGATCCTCTTAGTAGGTACTGTATCCAAAAAATCATTTAACTGTATAAATGGACAGGGAGAACATTCCGAGGAATGGAACTTCTTTTATATTACAGATACATGGCATAACATTTTAAGACTTCCATTAAACCGACCTCCTTCCAATTGATGTTACATACCTTGAGGACAGAAAAATCTCCCTCTGTTTTGAGTGGCTCGGAGAAACTGGTGAGAATAGCACATTTTTGGAAAGAAATGAACCAGAAGGCAGTGCGTATTAGTACTAATGTCGTTCTCCTCCATACAGCCAAGTATCAGTTTCCTTTTTTACCAAGATTAAGTGATTGGCAATGCACCTGTTTTACTGCTCAGCAACTAAAGTCTTTACCAATCATAGTTTAGAGGAACCCTTGTCCAAGGGGGGCATATTTCTTTTAATTAAAACAAAATAGTCTAAGAAGATCCTATTGCATTAGTCATTTATATCCTATCTTAAATCTTTATCAAAAATAGAACATAATCACACTGAAAAAGAGGATTACTCTGAATTGATTGTATATAAACTCACAAATCATACTTGCTCCTTCAGCAAGCTGGATCCTTGCTCCTGATGTGCAGGTTGTGTTACAGAAAAGGTAATTCCTTCTTAACTCCCCTGTTTACAGAGATTCCCAGAAGTCTGACATGACTAATTTTACACACATGTACCATTGCCAGGAAGATTACCTATGGATAGCTACTGCCCCAGACAGACAACTGCTGCAAAACGAGGCATTTTTGTCTTTATATACTACTATGGTTGGTGGAGACATAATTCTTTGACCTGAGTTCAGGTACAGCATACTGAATCACATGTTCTTTAGGAACTATGACTGTGGTAAAAACGCGACAGTTGTGATCCCTTCCATTTAATGTAAATGAGGAACGGCTTTTAAGTTTTCTCTGTTGTGTTTTGGTTGGGAAATATTTTAGATATTCTTGGAATAAAAGGTAATCTACACAGTGATTATAAATTAAGACCAATGGCAACTTTTATTTACATAGCTTAACAAACAGATTCAAGCAATTATTACATTAGTCATTCAGATTCTGAACATCACTATACACAAGTTTATAGCAGGCCTAGCTAGTGTTGCTTTCTCCACAGTGCTGTGATTAATTGCCAATGTTTTTCTTTTTCCAGCGAAGCCACCTCAGAGCTCTTGCCAGTGCTACTTGTCCCATGAGGAATGTGATAGTGAAGTTACGTTTATACCAATCTCTACGATTCCAAAGCCAGAAAATCATCAGCACACAGAAAAAGAACAGGAAAAAGGTACACAGTTATATTAAAATACCCTTTGACATTAACAAATGACAATTCAGTGATGACCTGCATTTTCCACTCTTTGTGGCAATACCTTTCCACCCTAATGAGAGTTAAATAACCTATGAAAAGGTCTACGTGAATATCCACATCCACAAACAGATGACGTGTACTATAGGGCTACAACCATTGAGAGATGAATTGTAAAAAAGTTAAGGGATGGGTAGTTTTATGACCAATCGTATTTGAAATCAGGTAAGATAAAATAATTGTAACCATATTTCATGTTTCAAAAGTATAGCTTAATGATCAGCTTTCTAGAAGAACTTCCTGCCAGTGCTGTGCTATGGGTAAGATTTGTGTGTGTATGAAGATGTATGTGTTGGAAAGGGCATAGTTGGTCACCTATAAAGGGGGTAACAATAAAATAAAATGACACTTCAAAGACTAATTATATAACCCAATACAGGAAACATTAGGTTTCTAACACAGTACTCTTTAAAGATAATGTCTTTAATATTGCCAAAGTTATTGTTTATATGTTTAAGTAGTATTTATGCAGCATGCATGACTTCTGGAGCCAATTCAAGATACAGATAAAATAGTCTGTATCAGCCTTTTTTAACCTCTGAGAACTTGCTTAAAATTCTTGCCCCTGCTACAAACTAATTTCATAATTTCTTTCTAGTTTCCAACAATGATCACTCCCCCATTTTGTAAAATGCTGCACAAGAAGCAATAGAATATGCTTATTGTAGAAATAGCAGGGAATATTAAACACTGGGATTTAGGTCTTCTCTTCAGATCTCTGTGGGAAACCTTGCCTGTACAGATCTAACTTAAACCTGAGATACTAACCTCTCAGTAAGGATAGTAGCCAAAATCATGCCGACAAGCAGTACTGAGCCACCACTCAAATGTCACATTAAATCAAAATATCATGCTAACATTGCAACTGTTTCTTTTCCACTTTCATGTCTCATTTCCTACATCCTTCTCAAATTTTTTTTCCTAAACTAGACTCTTTCCAGTTAAGTACCATGAACTAAATACTTCATGGTGTCTATGAACAGTCATTGCTTCAATTTTAACTAAATTTTAGAAGTTGCAACACTTCAGCAGCCACAGTTTTCAGGCCAGCTGGCAACATGGCAAAAGAACATACAGCTGGATGCATAAGCAGATTTTACAAAAATGACCCCTCAAAATCAGAATGCCCGTACAGAGCTCCACTCTTTCAGGGTTGTGCAGTTCCACTTTGAAACTACAACGATGCAACTGACACTACCCAATTTTACAACGCAGCAACAAGGAAGGTCTTGTTTAGGCACAAAGCCTGAACTCTCTTACCGTGAAGACGGGACACTATCCTGAGGTCACTACAACAATGGCATCTGGTGACCAGTTCTAAGATAAGCTATTTGCTTTCTCACTCATCAGTTATATGCAATTTGAACAAAAATCCTCTTACTAAATATATTTTTTAACTTTCCATCTTTTCATGCTGTTGCTTAGGTTTATGGGGAGGTTTCTTCCCCCATCCCTCCCCCCACACAGGCAAGACAAAATGTGCACCTTTGTTTTAAATATTTGTTACAGTAAATTTGTTCTTACAGTATAGTATGTTACAGTATATGCACAATACGTACAAAGAACCTTAAACCACAATTTGTTATAGATCAGTTATAGTGATGGCAGAATTTTCACTAGCAATTACACCTTTAGGAACCCAGTAACACTTGACACCTTTGAGCCCAATAATCTTTCAATCCGATACGGAAAGGAAACTGAAGTTGTGGTTTCACATTCAGTGGGCAGTGCTACTGTAACTAGATCAAGTGATATCCTCCTCCAGCTTCCCATTCCTTCCTCATTTCTAGCCCTCTACCAAGTGTGCACAGCTACTTGCAGGATAATGTGTGTTTGCAAGTCATTTTTCAGTTGTTTCAGATCCCCAATCCAGTTTATCAAGTTGTTGTACAAACAGTTAACACTGAAACAATGCAGTAGATGTTGAAGAGGCATGGTGGATGTGGGCTTACCCAACTGTAGCTGAGGTTCTACACAGGATGAGTTCAGGCAATCATTTTACTAATGCTCTGACACACAGAAACCCCTCAAACTCAAGGCTAATCACATTCATTTTTACTATATGCTTGCAAAATAATAAAAGCAAGAATACTAAATATTACTGTCATTAAACAATTTTCCTTTGAGATTAATCACATTTACTAGTCCTTATTTAACAGTCAACTAGAATCTGTTATATAGAAATTTCAACTATTTTACTCGCATATTTATCAGTTTCAATTAGCAGCATGAAAAAACCCATGCCATAAAAGAAAAAAGGGAGTGCCTGATCTTGTGTCTCTGAATCTCAGACATAAGATTAATCTCTGCACTAAATCAACAAGAAGCAGTAGAACTCAAATGACAATGCAAATTTTTGTCAAATGCTAGTAATAGCATGTAAATTTTTTTTCCCAAAAATGATAGTTTTAGGTGCTGCTTTACCAATTATGAAAAAAAAAAAAAGGGTCAAATTTTAAATTTGATCTTATGCCTGTGACTTAGACTGTAACATATAACAGCCAACATAAATAACTTCTACATACCTGTTATACTGCATATGCTTTCTAAAATTTTTACTTAGAAAGTCCTTGTAAAAGTCAGCCATTTCTTCTGCATTCAGTGTTGCTTTTTGACCTGAAAATAAGTTTTGGCATAACAATGTCAAGATAATTCTTTGGATTAAAACACTGGGTTTAGATGCAGGAGATCTAGGTCTGACTCCTTGTTCCTACAAGCTTTCTGTGTAACCCTGAACAAGTTTATGTGCTTTTATCTTCCAACTTTTAAAAACTTACCTAGGGAGCACAGCAGATTAAAAATACTGACAATCTTGAAGTTGGCATAACTCTTAAGCCCTTATTACTTGTGAAAGCAACTCTGTTTATCAGGTCTTAGATTATTTAGGGAACTAGCGGACCCCTTTGAAAAAGTCCATAGATCTAGGAGAATCTACCCTTGAATAAAATTAATCTCTCACAGGGCTGAAGTCTAAAGAGTACCAGTAAGAGCACTTACTTTGTAACTTAAATTCCCCCGCTAAAGCAAGGCAATGAATAAATAAACAATGCTATCCATGACTGACATAATTACAGATGTACATTTTTTCTGTTGCTGTTGATAAATTTCAAGTAACTTATACCAAAGAGTATACATTCTGAGACATCACATTTATTAACAATATAGTAGACAATTATTTTGTGAAGAAGCAAGTACAAAAGATGTCTGAATATGTTACTCTCATAATCAGAATCTAAGGAGAGATGGATTCTCTCTATAGAACATGAAAGGAAAAGTTGTGGCTACAGCACAGATAAGAATACTTGCTGGTTCTCGGGATTCACAAGTCTACCAGATAATTCCTATACAAACTTTCTGGTACTTTCAATGTTTCTAAAATGAGGGTCAAATTTGAATGTCCCAGGGGACATGGATATGATGAGGGAGGTGGAATTGTGATATTCACCTTGTTTACTGTTCCAAAATGCATTTTAAAGCTCCTGAGATTGACCACAGAAATATGTATTATTGATCAGTTCTATTTGTCATCAATTTAAAAACTAATATATTACAATGGATTAACATACTATGGGATAAATTTACTCTAAGACTATTTGAAGGCTGCCTACGTAACACCTATAAGTTAGCTTGTTTCTTCATAATGGTATCAGCAGAACTGACCACAGATTCACTTATATAAAAAAGTTAGTTTTGTTCCAACTGTCCACGTATATTGTTATTACTCTTATTTTTATATACACATGCAGCTGTATTATAGAACAGAGTTAATCAACACATGCAGCCAATATAATTTCATTTCTAAGGGATGTACATGCTTACTATTTTTCCTTTTATTTCGAGGGTATAAAAACAAAACAAAAAAACCCAGAATGGCAATATAAAAGAAGCATTTTTTTAACAACATATAACTTAATTATTTCTCAACCACACACTGATCACCAGGATACAAACAGAAGAGAAAATGATCTGTGATATACAATGTCACATGCTTTACTAAATTCAAACAGATCATTATGCTATGAACAAAATGTTCAACCTTATACTACAATGGCCAATTCACTGTTATTATGAAGGCATCTTGTTTTCAGTTTCACATAACACATTAGAGAGGCAACTATTTTACAGTAGCTCTGCTCAGGCAAAGACAGGCAGATAGCAGCTGCCGTCTCCTCAGAAGCTGTCTTACTCTCCCTCAAGGAAAAAATATTGTATTCGTTGTATACACTATGGACCTGAAGCCAAGGAGTGTGAATTTATCCACCCAACCATAACATGCGCTTGAGGCAAATGCTTGACACGTTTAGCTCAGCTAGCTCACTGGGTTAGGAGTATGAAAGGAAAAAGCCCCTTCCTCAGACTACAAAATGATTGTATTACTTGGCTAGGATTTCAGCACGTTA